TGTGTTTTTTCTTGATAATGCTCTGTTATTCATACCAAATGAACCTGCTGCTACAATATTTGATTCATTTATTTATATTTTGGGATCTGTTTTAATGTTTTGCATCATTGGTTTTTATGGTATTGTGTGATAACAGGGAGGAAATAGGGTCATTTTGTTGACTTTTAAGAGGGGTAGGTGTAATTTCAGTCATTTTCAGATTATTCTCCCTTTAAAGATTTTCAGATGTGTCGTTGCTGTCATTTGTTTTATAATGCAGTTTATGTTTGATTTGATTAACAGACATGCTGCAAATTTATTTTACATTACCACTGATATTAAAAAAGAAGAGACATTTTTGGTTTCTTTCAATTGACCTTTTCTAAAAACGGAATTGAAAATACAGTTAATTGATGAGCATCCTGACGGCAATAAAAACAGAATCTCTTGTGCAAGAAAACAGACACCAAATGATCCTCATTGGGGGAATACAATTTTTAATATTTCGAAGCATTGGTTATTTCCATAAAATATTGAAAATAGGCAGGACCGCCTATCTTTCAACACTTAGTACATACAATAGAATAATGATCTGAAACTATATATATTTATAAGGCTCAAACACACATCTCCAATCTGGTTCTTTCTTTTTTCCTCCTATACTGTAAAACTCGGATGAGTCTGAGCTGAAACATGGTGAAGCCCTGATGTGTACATTAAGAGCTGTGGAACCTGATCCGGATTAGTTATGGTATGAATAACATTTGGAGGGGAAAACAGCACTCCCACTGAATTCCTCATGTTCTGTGACCCCCACAACCTGAGTGCTAGACATCTCCTCTCATATGTGTTTATAGTGTTTAGAAATTGTGTAAGACAAAAAATGGAGGAAAAAAAGCCATCCGTTTTACAGTCCTTTCCCCCCTCCTCTGTTCCGCTGCTTCCTCTCCTCCACCTCCTCTGTCCTCTCTCGCAAAGTTTCAATCTTTCTTCTCCGCCGCCCCGTCTTTCGGCTTCTCGTCTGGTTTGACTTCAAGGAAGAAGTCGTTACAGGCCACCGTTAGGGCACCCATCAGGATGATGAACTCTGTGAAGTCAACCTCGCCGTCGTTGTTGGCGTCCAGATCATTCATCACCTTCTCCACTGCTTCGTTGTCTTTGGAGCTCTGATAGTGAGAGATAGAAGACAAGCAGGGCTAATGTGGACTTTTTAATGTGTATTTGCAGCTATGCAAAAGCTGAACAGGCTTGTCAAAACTTGTGCATGTGAGTATCAGTGCACATACCAGTACTTGTGTCACACGTGTTTGCAAAATGCACTCTGTCTTTTTCTTCACAACCACATATTTATCTTCTGAGACACTCAACACTTACCCCTAGGTAACTTCCCAGTTCCTCAAGTAGGAGCTCCTTCAGCTCTCCCCTGCTCAGAGTGTACTTATCACCCTCCTTCCCAGAGTACTTGTGGAAGGTTTTTATGAGCATCTGCATGGCACTCTCAAGGTTGGAACTGGGCTCCTTGGACATGCTGGAAAAAAGCATCAGGTAGAAATGTTAAACTCTTAGATTAGATGCCCGCTCCAGCCTCTGCTTGCATGTATGGTCACATGGCAATCAGGGGTGAAGCAACCTCAAAGATGAAGTGATGGAGATATAGGTAGGCTGATGTTGAAGAGTCACATTTTGGATGTAAAAACAGGAAAAAAAGCTTCTGAAAAAAGCTTTTCTTTTGCGAACGATCTTACACACATTGTGTCCGGCATCTTGGAGTGTCTTGTGCTCGACTCGTTGGGAGACTGTGCACACACATAGATAAGTCACTGTCAATAATGCAAAGCTGGTATGAGCAAATCCAAGCAACAGTTACATGTCATTCTTCTAGTGATGCTGTAATAAAATAACTCTCAGATGTATTACTTAACACTCCAAGGAGGAAAGTGACCTGAGGACCCTGATCACCTTTCCCTCAGATGCACTCATTAAAGCTTATTTAGTAGTTTAAAGTCACCATTAAGCCCTCTGAAATCCTGTGCAGAACCTCAGTAATAAATAAATAAATAAAACAGCTTTTAAAGTGTCAAGAAGGAGGAAGATGATCTCAAAATGTTTGTGAATAGTTTTAACCTTGTAACAACAAATATGTCACAACTATTTGTGTCTTAGAGTGACATTAGAAATATGCAAGCGCCTTATACAGTTACCTAAAGAGACAATGATGCCTGTAGCATTGCTGCAGGACTTAAACTGTTTACATTTTGATAAGTAATTAAAAAAAATAAAAGGAATACATTTTCCTTAAAACATCATCTGGACAGAACCTATTTCTTATCTCTTATCTGACTGTTATTTTTTACAAATATATTATAGGTATCAATGCTGCATTAAGAGGGAGCTATGAGGATTTTCCCACAAGTTTTCAGCCAATTTCTTGTGGATTCAAAGGATATCTAGTGGTTTATGCAAAAGCCTTCAATATGGCATTTGTTTTTGTTTAGTTTTTTCAGGAAGGAAATTAGATTGATCTTTTTTAGTAATATCTACACCAAGGGAAAAACCTAAAGTATCAACTATGCAAAAAAAAAAAAAAAAGACTGGTTTGTTTTTTCCCTCAATAGTTTTTAATAGAGATAAAATCTAAGACATTAGGATTTTCCAAAAGTTTTTTGTTGTGCCTGGCTGGTGTCTGTCACTGACGATTAGATTAGCCGGCGCAACGCTGGCTAGCTGGAAAATCTGTATGGTCACCTGTCTCGCCGGCTGACACAATACAATAGATGCAGATAAGGACTGTAATACAATCCCAGACATTCGAACATTAAAGATGCATTCAGTGATGGAGCAATGTTTTAGATTAGGGATGCAAAATGTTTTAGAATTTGTCATGAAAAAATTATGTCATTACAAGAGTTTTTATGAATAAGCTGATTTACTTGTTTAATTTGTCAATTTTCCATCATTCTTCTCTGGATATGCAGTTTGTTTTCTTTAGGTCTCCTGCCCACAAACGTGATCTGGACCCATTGTGTTATCGACTTTGGCAGCACTCAACAGTTTGCGAGAAACCTTCTTGTCAGCTACAGAGGAGAAAGTGCAGAAAAGCAACATGTCTGTGTGTCGGTCTTACCTGAGTGCTGATGGAGGGACTCTTTTGTCTTTAAAGAGCAGCAGGGGACAGAGCCAAGGCAAAGATGGATGGGGAGAGAGTCTGCCAGTGGCTTAAATATCACCAGCTCCTCTCTCTCTCCTCCTCCTACTGCTCCCCCCCAAACTTTATCATCCCATTTGGACCTGAAGGTGCCCTTCCTCCCTTCTCCCATTCCCCTCAGCAAAAAAAGATGTCAAGAGTCTTACAAAATTAATATCCCTCCCAGTATTTGACACAAGAAGTGCATAATTGTAAAATAGAAGGAAAAGTGTTTAAACATGATTTAAAAAAAATGCTGCATGTGTTTATCCTTAACTCTTTTTACTACAATAGCCTCTTACACCTCTTAAATGTCAGTCAGAGCTAAACAAGGAGAGTATCTGTGATCATAATTGTTTAAGTCTGGTCCCAGATTCTCAAACTGGACTTTGATCGGGTCATTCTTGCACAGTAACATGCTTCAATATAAAACAGATTGCTCCAGCTTTGGCTTTTTGCTTCTGTCTCTTTGGAAGGTGAAGTCCTCTAATTCTGCAATTAATTTTTTTCTGTCCACCTTTCATTCATTTCTGATTAGTTCCCAAGTCCCTTTGAGAGAAAGGATCCCCACAGTATGATACTGCCTCCACCATGCTTTACTGCATGCTGTGTTAGGTCTTCATATTTTTTCCACCCTTTTGTTAAAGATCACATTTGTAGAATACATTATTTATTGCTACTGTCTTGACAGATATTCCCACCGGGAGTCTTCATGTGCCTCTTGGTTGATTCTATAATTAATTATCATCTTGCATGGACTTTCATTTTAGGTGTGTTTATAGTTTTATAGTCTTAACCTTGCTTTAAAATTGATTACAACTTCATTGCTGTGCTGCCTCTCTGTTTGAAAACCAGGAAACTCTTCACCTCTGGTTGTGCAGAGGCTGGTAACAAGTTAATTTTACTGAAGTAACTGAAAGAAATACATCAGTTAGTCATTTTAATGCACCACCATTATTAACCTTAACTAGAGCATATCGTTATTCATAACTTTAATCAAAAACATTTTTTTGTTGTTATTTCACTAAAAAGACAAGGAGGATTCAACCGAAATGTTTCAAACACAGAAAAGCACATTCATTTTACAACATCAGTTTCTTTTTGCTAATGTCTTTTTTGTTCAAATGTCATTTTTCAATACAAATGTGAAGTGGTGAGTCTGGAGTGCAATTTGGAGGTAGGGCCAATAAACAGTAAAAAAAAAAAACATAAATTCCCACTGGAAACACTGTATACTATAGTGAACTATAAACTACAAGTATTCAATTAAAATGCTTTGAGTTTTAAAAAATAATTATAGAAATTTAATTTGGAAATAAGTATTTCTTCAACCTGAAATTATTTGTTGTAATAATAGTTATGTTTTACTCATTTTGTAGTTTTAATACCAGAATTTCTAAATATTACGTCTTTGTGCTTGTTTTTTATTATATTAAAGATATAAAATCAAATAACAATTGACTTATAACAAATATTCACTACATAAATAACCTTTCTTAACAAATTTTCCAGCGTTTTTATTGTCATTTCACTGTCACAAGTACTGTCACTGTTACTTTAACATAAGTATTGATATTTTAGAGTAGTGATATGTTTTTAAATGTATTTTGGCCTTAAGATCATTGTATGCACACAGGAGCTTCCTCCCCGCTACATGCCATTCCTTTAAGTAGCCCATTTCTTACGTGAGTACACTACCTATTCTATCCACTTCTTGTTGTGCACTACTTTGGGTTGGACTATTACATAAAATCAGCCAAAAGCAAATTAAAGATTGAGGTTATAGTTCAAGAACATTTGCAAGAAACTTTGCAAGAAAAAAGCACCACACATTAAAAAATGTTACTGTCACAGTTTAATTCTATATTAGCCAGTACATAGATTATAAGCAAAAATGATACAGCATTATGTATTTATATTTATAATAAACAGTGAAGACATATTTCTAGAAAATAAACAGATAAGTACCTGCATGGCATCCTGTGAAACATCCCACTATCACAAACATTTTGAGCCCAGCGGCCATAAAGTCACATTTATATATTCAAATACTTTATGCTGTTCCAGTTCGCTGCTTAATAACTTTGATCTTTATCTACTGTTTCTGAGAATGAAGGTGATTTACTGTGTGGCAATGTGAACACTCCCTGCTGCGTATCTATTGTGTTCCAGTTTTAGTAGATCATTTAGAGTTGGGTGGATTTTTGCTGTGACAAGCTTTATAAACATAAAAGGCACATTTTAAATGAAAAATATTGGCTAAAGATCATCTTCCAGGGGATGTTCAATCAAAGTATGTTCATATTAAGCTGGTTTTTATAGTGCAAATCAGCAAACTACTGTTCTGTACCTTAACATGACCATATGAGCCGTAGGTGGTTTAGGAAACTGATGACACCATTAGTCTCAACAAAAATAAAAATGCATTAAAAAAAATCAGATTTAAAAAAGAGAGCTAGTAATAAGACCATCTAAAACGCCCATTAAGAGGCAGCTAATGCAGGAAGCATGGTGCACCGTGGGCTGCATGGAGAAGGTGTAAATGAGAGTATTTACAATGGGAGTGTCTGAGTGAAGCAGGGTGATCACATGATCTGCCTTTACAGTATTTATCTCTTCCATTTTTGTAAGGCAGCAGTGTGAAGTGCTGTCAGTTCTGATGAGGAACAAGGTGCCGCTATTTTACTATAATAATCCCTAAAGTGCTCCATCAATAGGTTAGCTGTAGATTTTAAAGTTCATTGTAATAAAGAGGGAAAAATTAATAGTGGTTAAAATAATCACAAAAATGATATTTGGTTAAATCCATTAAGATACACTCTGTGTTGTTCCTATAATTAAAACAGCACAACCGCCAACAGGCATGGAGAGGAATTCCATATCCAGGATTACTTTCATGCAATTGTTTGCATCCCTGGGTGTGTTAGTCATGAAATGCCTAATCCAGTAATTTCCTAATGCCTAATGCTCGAGGATCCAGTTGCAGGACAAACAGGGTGTCTAAAATGCACAAGGGTGTGACCAGCAAAACATAATGGAAGAACAAGCAGCTGGTACTCCAACTATCAACCAGTTCAGATGAAGGTCAGGAGGTTTTAGCATTTTCAATAAGTAGGTCACTCTTGAACCGCCAATGCATTTATAGCTCGTTAATTAAAATAACATTTCCAGTAAGATGGGTTTTTAGAGTCATCTGTGGTTTGTTACAGGGTTTCCTTTTCCAAACCCAATCTGGGGATAAAGTTGCTTGAGCACCTTTGCTGATATGGCCTGCTAGTCCCCAGCCCACTCCCACAGGACTATTCTGGGCTCCCTTTTTGACCTAATTGGTCCTTTAGGTGTAGATTCCCTGACAGTGCCTTAATAATTTAGTCAAAGGTCACACCCAACGTTCCAGTCCCCAGTTCACGTCTAACAGTTCAGAGAACACACTCTGCAGACAAAGGGGGAAAAATGAGATAGATCAGTTCACAGGAGAAAGAAATAAAAAGGGCCATGAGAAAACAATTAAGATCAGCGGAAGTATGTAGAACTTATGAAATTAGTTTGTTTATTGTTTTGTGAAATAAGCCACAGCACCAATTTCAAGACATACAAAAACCATGATTTAAGTGCATACAATAAAGGAACATTTGGACAGATTAAAGATTAAAGTTTAATAAAAAAATAACAATTTTCAAGAAAAAAAGAAGCTAACCTGAATATGTTTTATTTAGAATTAATATTGAGGAATGGTTTCCCCATCAACTTGATAAAAAAAACAAAAAACAAAAACAAGCAAACAAAAGAAAATAGTGGAATCTTACAAAGCCAATTTAATGGGCTTCAAACCAACAGAACTGAAACTATGTTAATCATTGCAGTGACTATCATTTTATTTATTTAGGTGGCAGCCATATTGGATTCAGAAATTCATTATTATGTATTAACATCAGAAGATTTCTACTTTTTTTTTTTTTTACTTTAAACACTAAATTTCCAACTTTCAAGTAAAAATGCCTTTTGACCTTATTGGCTAACAAATTTAAAATCTAGCTTGCCTCTAAAGTTTACACTATACTATTAGGGAAATTTAATATGTTTTAAATAATCAAGGACAAAGTTAGTGAAGATAAACATTTGAAGGGTCAATTTAATTTAATCTAATTTACAACTAACAGCAAAGCAAGAATTAAAATGATCAGAAGTCAATAGGAACAGTTAATTACATTTGATTTATTATGTCTTATTTGAGTGGAAGCCATATTGGATTTGAAATACGTTTTCCAAGTTGTTTGGGGAAAATCTTTAACTTTAGGGAATGTTCCAGTTAATATTTTAAAACCTCTTAAGATTTTAGCTTTCAAATGCAAATATAACATGACAATGTACCAAACTAACAAAGAAAGGGAAGCAGCTAATTCATATCTTACCACCTTCCTCTAAATGTACAGGCTAGCAAATAAATGTCTGTATATATTTGTATTTATTGCCAAGCAGATTCAATTTACAAAACACAACCAAGTGCATAAAATACAGGAATGTTTCAAAGCTGGATAATGACTAAATATATTATCATGGTAAATGTCAGCTTAGTAAAATTCGGAAAAGCAGCTATTGCTATCATTAACCTAAAAATAAAATTGTAAATTGAGTAAAATAGAAACAGGGAACAAAATGTAATCTCTAATATTCTAGGGTGCTTCTTAACTTTAAAAATCATTTCTTATTCCGGGATTGACAAATCCAAACATTTAGTGAGCTCCCTGTATCTATGTTTTGACTAGCAAGTTGCTAAAACGTCTAAATTATTTCTTTTAAGACATATTTATCTGGCAACGGGTTATTGCCAAAGTTTTCAAAGGACTTGTTTTGACTTTGTTGTTAGTGTAGAAGTGAGAGAAAGTGAAAAACACCCAGAAAGAGAAAGCACGGATGGAAGGCCTCTAGTTTGCAATAGTGTGTTAAGCTGCTTCAGTCAAGTGTGCAGGAAAATCATACTTTCCAGGGAAGCTTTCACATGGATACTGCATGCACGATTTAGTGTACAACAGCATGCTGTCTTTGTATACCATCATAATGAGGTAAATGTGCTATATAGTGGGATGCACATCTTACATATAAACATAGTGGTAAAAGTATTACTAAAAGTAGCTACCGTAATGTACATAATCATGTATATGGAATAGTGTTCTGTAGTGTTTAATATATAATTGTATTTAAATGCATATAAAAAATAGTGGCTTTCCAAATTATTTTGGAATTAATGTTACGTTCTCTGATGAATTTATTTTCGGAGTGTGACTTTTGGGAAGGAGTGGATTGTCCCCTATGAAGATGCCTCTTTTGTCTTCTCTGCTCCTTCCTCCTCAGTAGCATCAGGCGACTTCTCTGTTGAATCCACGTTTGGCGTTTCCTCGGCTTTCTCTGGCTCTGTAGCCTTTACCTCTGCCTCTACTGAGGCTGCTGCTTCCACTGCAGCTGCCTCAGGCTTTGTTTCCCCCTCCGCCTTTGCTTCTACCTTCCCATCCATGTTCGCATCCACTTTCGCCTCCACCTTTGCCTCAGCTGCTACGTCTGCTTTTGTTTCTTCGTTTTCTTTTTGCTTTCCATCCTCTTTAGGCTCTGCATTCTCTTTGGGCTGTTCTGCTGCTTTATCCGGGGAGCTTTGTGCCACTTGTTCAGAAGTAGCATTTTTTACAGCTTCCTCTTTATTGCGCCCACGCTGCTCGCTGAGTGAGCAGGCCAGGTAGCCTATTAGCTTCATGTACTCCTCAAACCCAACCTTGCCGTCATTGTCGGAGTCTAGCTGCTTGCCCATATTGTCGATTGCTTCCTTGCTCTCTGTGTCCTGGATGTTGGACACACACAACCACAACTCAGTCAAGTGAAATAAATCATCATTTGGGATTTACCAACATAAAATAAAGTTATTATATCATGGAGAAGCTTCTAATATTTATGCACTACTTTCAACACAGAAAATTGACCAGAATGTATGCAATTTGAGTAAGTACAAGTGAGTATCACAAAATCTAGGTTGGGAATGTAGTAACATAATAAATGGTTGAAAGAGACTGAGGGGGATCCAATAAAGGTTGCTCTAACCGTAAGGATGTTGCCGAGCTGGGATGAGACGAGGCTTTGGAACTCTTTCTTTCCTAGAGTATCTTTTCCTTTAGCTGATTTCAGGAAGGTTTTCACCACTGCCTGGATGGCGCCCTCCATGATTCCCCTGTCTGGGAAAACAAGAAGTCATATTCTCTTAGCAAAACAAATCAGACTGATGCCCATCGATCCGTCCCAACGATGGAAGGTTAATAAACACCTACAGACAAAGAAATGTTGACTTTTTGAGACATTTTTGGCATTTTTACTAAAAAATCTGTTTAAAATAGCCTTTTTATTTGACCCTTTACTACTAAAACATTGTTTTATGATCAGACTGATAACTCAGTAGTGCAGCTCCAATGCATCTATAAGCCTGTGACCTATTTTTCTTGAATGTACTTTGGGTCAGAAGTTCCCTTGCTGCTCTGTGGATGCTGTTGAAAGGGTCCAACATAGAAAACAATATCTTTAAGGACAGTGCTTTGAGTCAGAAACTTCTCAAAACAGAAATTCTACTGTAAAATATTTTCACAACTAAAGCAGACATCATTAAACCAGGAAATTGAACTACCATTGTGGCGTTCTGGCTATATGTTAGGTCCAGTTTAGGATTAACATCAAACCAAAATAAGCTGGGCTACAGTTTGAAAGCCAGTGGGATTTCTAATGTTGCCAATGACCCGTCTTACAAAAACTATCATCAAGAACTAATTCTTTCAGTAAAGTTTCAACCGTGCTATTTGTATCTGAATCATTTAAATATGTCCTAATATTAAGAGGTGCAAAGATGATGTTTCTCATGATGAACCAAATACAAGTAACATATTTTTCATTTGGAATTTCAACTACAGGAGAACTTCTTCCAACTTCTACCTTGAGTTTTACCAAACAATTACTTCCTCATCTTTCAGTCAGTAGCAAAGTGCAAATTGATAGGAAGTTAGTTTTTATTTATTTTCCTGTTTTTTCTTTGACAAATCACAACAGTTTTGCAGTTGTGATTTCTCTCTGTTGCCATATTATGCATACCAAGGTGGCAATTTCATTTAAAATCTTTTAGAACCCCAGATCCACTTAATTATTGAGAACTTACTCATATTTTTCAGACAGCTACATGCTCTGTGAAAACTGATACCGATGATCTCTCGCGTCCCTACAAAGTTTTTTGTTTCAGTTGTTGGACTCTTGAACTGCAGTTTGGGACGGACAGTGACGTGAGATAGGTGGAAAAGGTGAGAGGGAGTCTGATTGAGAGACGAGCCGAGATGTACAATGGAAGTTCTGATCTTTGATAGGTCATCTGATCTACCGAAGCTACCAAGGGAACCAGGACTCAGATTACCTGAGGGATTACCTAGTCCATTTCTGCCCTTCTCAGTCTGCCTCCCTTTCGCTCTGCTCTGTCTTCCTTTACCTGTCTGTCCCTCAACGTACTCAGCCTCTCTCAAGATGCTGTGCTGAAACTGCTGCATGAAGGCAAAGACCGGCTTGCTCCTACACGTTAGGCAACTGCACAAATAACAGAGTCCTGTCGACTTTGACTCCAACAAGATTTCAAGTATTTCACAGATGCACAGATAGTGGTCACACATTGCACAAACTGTAACAAACCAGCAAGGATTACATGTTTGCTGGAATTCCACTCATTTCTGTCTGCGGTGATCACTAAGACAGGAATTTACAAGCTACCTCTGAGCTAGCTTTGCCCCGAAGGAGCCAAGCGACATTCATTTAGGGCAAACATGCTGGGCAGTCAGTTTCAGTATTCAAATGCTGTAGAAAAAATACATGGCGAGGTGAGAGAATGTTGACTCATTCTTTTAATAAGGATGCAGTGGGTCTTGTGCCATAGACAGCATAATGACATCTGCATTACTGGAGTCTAAGTCAGGCAGAGAGACGAGCAGTTAGGAAAGAATACCTTAAATATTACCAGGAGTGACGTTACACTTATAAAATTACTTGAATCTAACATTTCTCTTTCCTCTCCTAGGTATTAAAAAAATGCTTTAATACAAGATTCATCACATCAACCAGCAGCCATTTTAACACTTTTAAAAGTGTCCAAGTGTTAACCCAAAAATTACATGATAATACCAATAAATTATTTTTTTCAGTTAAGTTTTTAAGCTTTTGTTGCAGAGGTGGGGTTGAGAGTACAGCTTTTCAAAATAAATTTAATAGATATGGGAGAAGGGAGTCTATTAAAATGGTTGTGCTTACAATAAAATGGAAATGTGTCTTTCCTAAAGAGTTTTTTTTATTCTTTATTTTTATCTGGATTATAGGTACACTGTATATGTAAAACCATTTTTCAATATTGATGTGGTAGATGCGGCTAAATCCTTAGATGCCACAATTTGCTATTAAATTAGAGCCTATTAAGTATTTTGGGGTCTTTTAGATTGACTTTCATGTTTTCTTTTATCCACACACCTGAAATTGATATTGGCCTTTAAGCCAAGTTGTGGTTAGATGAAGACATTGTGATGGTGGCAAAAAGAAAGAGGAAAAAGTGGCTAATGTGGATAGAAACGAACGATCCAACATATATCAGCTGTTGTTTGATATATTGGTTCTTGAAAACACAAAATTAAAGATAAATTAGCCATTTAAAAAGAAAGAAAAAAATGAAAACCAAAACTTAAACAAAGAGTCAGTCTGGCCTTAAATTTTACAAACTTGTTTAAATATCTATAAAGATGATAGAATTCTGCTCCTGGGCATATATGAGGCACTTTAACATTATAGGAAGGCTCCAACCAGGATCCTCCACTGTAATCAGTTAATAAGCTTAATGCTACTATATGAAAGTTAAGGATTATTTACAAAAATCAAAACAACATCTAAACAGCAATATGTATAAATATCAAATAGAAACAGCAACTTTTTTAAATAATTTTTTTTTTTTTTATAACAATTTGCCTTTTGAGAGAGGTATGCAATGTAGCTGGGATATCTTTGTGGAATATTCCTTATGATTTACTTCTATCACTTATATATAAATTCCCTTCCTCTAGAAGCTTTAACATCCCGGTCACTAAACTCTATATTAGTTGTGAGGATTTTAAAAAGCATGATATGTACCAGCATGCAGAGTGAGAATCTCCCACTTTAAATATATCAAGATCCACCAAATACTGTATCAAAGGTGTATTTTACACTTTGGATGAAAAGAAGTTTGTCACAGTGGCAGTTTAATCCAAACATCCAGTTCAGCTGGGACTTTAGGGGACTTCTTCCTCTGCCTGACACACCCTTTGCAGCCCTGAGTACACAATATCCTTATTCTAACACTGCTGTGCATTTCACCAAATTCAACATTAACAATAGATTCAGACACTAAGGCAAATATTAAACTAATAAATGATTTTGACTTTCTAAAAATAAAAAATATTCGCCTTTCCAAAACAAAAACAACAAAACCAAATAATTAAATACAGATACCTACAACCAAAGGTTTCCCGTTTCCCTACAGAGCCCCAAAGGGGGGGATTGGGTGTTGCGTTTCAAAAATGGGTAAACATGATACGGTACGTGCGCAAAGTAATGACAGTACTACCGCTGGTGTGGCGTGAATTATTAACAGAGGAACAAGTCAGGCTGCGGCTATAAACAGCGGGAAGAATCGCTATCTGCCACCCAGACCGGATTGATTTAAAAGCTACAAAGAAAAAAAAGATTTAAACTTCAGAGAAAGGAGCTACTTATACCAGATGGAAACTGCCAGGTCGGTCTTCTGCAAAGAAAACGTGAGAAATAGGCTGTTTGCAATGAGAACTGCGGTTTTACGCACAATTGCGCAGGTTGCGTTATGCTCAGATCCCGTCATTCTGTCACCTGGATACGCTGTTTGCATCTGGTGACTTAAAGTTTATATCACAACACATTATCTGAACTGGAAGTTGATTTGTAAATAAGCGAATATGGAAGTAAAAAGCAAACACAAATGAAGTAGTTTGCTAAAAACGCGCAACTTGAGCGCCCAAACTTTGTAGGATAGCAGCCTGTGAACTCGTCCTGTAGTCAGACAAGCAGGGATCGAAACGTGGCAAGAGAAAAAAAGAAAAAGAAAAGAAAAAAAAAAAGCTGCTTCCAAACAGGAGATAATAAGAAGGAACCAAAGGAATAACAGCCAAAACTTACCGTTGATCGTCCGCGGGATAAGAGAAGTGTGTGAAATGTGCGCAAAAGTGCCTTTCGCTCCTCTTCTCCGCCTTTTTTAATTCTGCGCTGCTTTGAGTCCTGCTGACTTGCCAAACTAGTAAGACTGCAGAGGCTCTTCCGTGATTTGGGCTCTTTTTTCCCCTGTCCTTAAAAGTTTTCTCCCCCTTCACAAGTCAAAGGGCGTGTACCTGGAGAGGGAGAGGAGTACAACAGCGACCATTACAAGGAGAGAAAGGGGGAGAAGTACAAGAAAATACTTAAATTTTTTATTTTTATTATGAATTTGTTTGAAGTTCATGGTTAGCTGATGGGCCAGCTGTTTCACGTCATGCGTGATTCTCTCATTCTGTGGCTTTGGAACAGATTCATCTGCTGGGACATAGAGACAGGGCGACTGGAATGACTTCATCCAGATTCTAAACCAAGGATTTAGTGTCGCTTATTAAATAAACATTGCAACAAAAATAAGTCTTAATATTTTTATTGTAGTAGTCCATCTTAATGCAAATATTCCTTTTTTCATTTTCATTTTGTTGATTAAATCAAATGCTGTGTACGACGGCTTGCCAAAGTATTCCCACCACTTCTATCCCATATTTTGTCACGTTGTAACCACACACTTTATTTGGGTTTTATATGATAGACAGGGGCGGAGCTAGATGGGGGGCCAGGGGTGGCCATGGCCACCCTTATCTAAAGTCCTTACACTGGCTCCCTGTATCTCAGAGAATAGACTTTAAAATACTTCTATTAGTTTATAAATCTCTGAATGGCTTAGTACCAAAATACATCACAGACTTGCTATCAGTGTATCAACCCTCCAGACCACTCAGGTCTCCTGGCTCCAGCCTGCTCTGCATACCTAGAACCAGAACTAAACTTAGAGAAGCAGTATTTAGTTCCTATGCTCCACTTATCTGGAACAAACTTCCAGAAAACTGTAAAAAATTTGGAAAGCCTGAGTTCCTTTAAATCAAGACTAAAAACACATTTTTTAGGATTGCCTTTCACTGTTCTACTTAAACAGTTCAACTGAAACATCATTAGTTCAACTTTCTTATTTTCTTTTTTGTTTCTGCAATTTTTTTTCCTGCTTGCTTTAATTCTGTTTTATTTTCCTATATTTTAATCATGTAAAGCACTTTGCATTGTCTTTGTACTGAATTGTGCTATACAAATACATTTGCCTTGCCTTGCCTTATCCAACCATTGGCCACTCCTGTACCATTTTCTCCCTCTAATACAGATGGTGGCATCAGTGATACTCTCAAGTGGAATATTCAAAACATTAAATTTTTTTGTGTTAAATTATACACATCAATATACTAACATCAAAGATGATAAATACAGAATTCATGCTCGTTTCAGAACTAGATTTTGTGTTATATGGGTTAAAGAGAAAATTCGTCTCTGCAAGTCATCTGGGAGTCTTCAGTGAAATCATAGATAAATAACAATTTTAATAAAAACGTATCAATTTATTTAGATGTTTGTGCTTGTAAATATCAATTTTATGCAGAATGTTTATTAATACAAGTAGGTAAGTAATGACGATGGAAAAGATTTACGCTCCAGATCTCAAAACTGAAAGAATTTTATCCACTATACCTTTTATTTCGAAAGCACGGACGTTTAAATTTGTTCTATTTGTTAGCAAAGGCTATAGGAAATTATAGGCAGTCTTTATTTAGAAAATATGGATGTTTTACTCGTTAATTTTCCTGTTGGAACAGTGTAGATTGACCCTGAGGTTCTGGTGCCTATGGGTGACAACAGTTTATTCAACTGTTGTCACCCATTCCAGGTAGGCAATTAAAAGTTCTACTGGATTCACTTTGTATTTGTCTTTTTCCTGCTTCAAAAAGGAAGGCAGCAGCTTGACAAAGCCATGATGGTGATTATTTTACATCCAAGTAGTATGCAAGTCTTCATACATACACACACACACACACATAAATCTCAAACAGATGGTATCAGTATGCTATCGGTATCGGCTGATACACCCTGATATGGGTATCGTGTACCCATATCAGGGTCAAAAAATAGCATCGGCGCAACACTAATTACAACCATACAAAAAAAAGAAAAAAAAAGAAACAATGTTCTACACTATGCAAATACAAATAATAAAGAATATGAATGAGTTTTGAGAACTTTTAAATCAGGTCAACCAGATAAGTCAACCACTATGCAGAAAAAAATGAAAAAGCACAAAAAAAGAATGCTGTTTTTTTTCTTAAACTTTTTCCTTACCCTAAATGTAATTCTTTTCCATAAATAAGGCATTTTCCATAAAAAAAAGGTTTACATGATCTTTTTCTATAGGTTTTCGCTTTTCTTTTGCTTTAACCCAAAAATAGCAATAAAGTGGTTGTTTTTAAATTTCCCATGAAAGCACGCAAGGTTTACAGCAATATCTGATTGATTTGTTTATTTAAAACAAATCCTGTAAGATTAACAGCTGTGGACAAATTCTGTATTATTAAACCTTCCTGGTTCCTGATACCTGTCCAGCCTGTCTAATGGACAGGCTTCTAGGCTGGACAAGGAGAGCATTAATCAGCAAAGTTACCAAGAGACCCATGGGGAGTTGCAGAAACCATAGCTCAGGTGGGGAATACCTGTCCATCCATCCATCCTTCATCTGACACACTTGTCCCGAGTGGGGTCGCGAGGGGTGCTGGTGCCTATCTCCAGCAGTCAATGCTGAGTCAATGGGCGAGAGGCGATGGACTGGCGACCCTGGACAGGTCACCAGTCCATCGCAGGGCAACACAGAGACAAACAACCATTCACACACACACTCACACCTAAGGAGAATTTAGACAAGTCAATAGTCATGTTTCTGGACTGTGGGAGGAAGCCAGTGTACCCGGAGAGAACCCTCGCATGCTCAGGGAGAACATGCAAACTCCATGCAGAAAGACCCCGGGCTGGGAATCAAACCCAGAACCCTCTTGCAGCAAGGCAGCAGTGCTACCCACTGTGCCACTGAGAAGCCTGGGAATACTTGTATTTTATGAAAACAATCGCATGAGGTTTGTTGAATAAAAGCTATAAGACAACCTATTTACACTTTGTCCATATGCTGCTATACGTTTTGGTTGCTGGAGGACATAGGAACCACTATTCATCTTTCTGCTTCATGCATTTCTATTCTCCCATTTTATAACATTTATTATAGTTCCACTCTTTATGCTCTCTCTGTTTCATCTGTTCTGTTTTGGTTTGACTGTGACTCCATCTAGGATTGAAATATCAGCTGGGCGTTGATGTTGAGACCAAACTTGAACTTAATTCTAAATGCTCTGTGTGGTGCAAAATTAAATTAAGCTCAGTCTAAATTTATCATCTCTATGGCAAGACATGACAGAGTATGAAGCTGTGGAGCAGGAACAGGGAGAGAGAAGCTGTTAAGAGTTGAAAGGAAGACGGTTGGAGCTAAATATCAGTGATATCCTGGAATAAATAGTGTTTGAGCCTACAAAAGGTCAACAACTTACACATGGATTAAGATATACTTTAGAAGGTTTGGATTCATTCTTAATAGCCCAGTTAAAGTCCAGACCTAAACTTGATTGTAGATCCGCCCAAGGTGGAGCTTTAATAGAAAAAGGTGGTAGGAAGTAGCTGCTCTTGGGAGCTAAATGTACCTGCAAGCCACAACTCTTACATTTTTATCATTGACCCCCTCCCTCCCCAAAAATCTATGCTTTACTTTCTCTTTCTAATAATTACTTGTTTAGTGTAAGTCGATCATAAAATCCCAATAAAAAACATAAAGTTTATGGTTGTAATGTGACAAGATATGGAAAAGTTCAAGGTGAATGAATATGTTTTTCTTTGTTTTTTTGTATTCAGTAGATTTCTAACCGTTGTTTTGCATGATACTAAAGAGGACATACGATTCAGCTGAACCCTGATTTTTATCATAAGTGAATGGAACAAACAAAGCATATTTCCTACAGCCATCTCGGCAAATTCTTTTACAACCATGTAAAAGATTTACATCTCCTGATTTTACCTCAGTGAGTGAGGCGGGGTTACCCATGAGCTTATCTGCAAAAGCTCCTAGCTGCAAAAAAACAGACGTTCTGACTTCATCCGTTTCTCTGACTCATTTGGCTGTAGTCTGCCCCTCCCACACCTGCACCTTAACACAAGGAGGGGGGTGTAATTTGGATACAAAGGTCACATTTACCTATCCGTTTGAAAAAGGCACACAATCACAGGCAGGTCGACAACAAATTAAAACAGGCCTACAGGCGATAAAACAGCAGGTGAGCATTCCCGCCCACATATCTCCGGCTAGACATTGAAGTTTATGCTAAAATTACACAATAGGAAGTATTTGGCCTACATGTCCCCGTCTTTACCGATGTATTATCAAGCTAGAACAAGCAGTTTTATGGAGCCCTTTTGAGTATTAAGAGTGCAGGACAGTGCAGCAGCAATCCTTTCAAGATTATAATCTCTTAAATCAAGGCTGTATCTCACTGCAGCTTAGATGTCGCTGCAAATCATAAAATGTGGTGAATGAATGACAGCAGACTCAAAGCTGGTGGTTCAGGGTTTAAAACAATAGAGCCTTTAATTCAAAGTTCCTCCCATTGAACAAATGGTTAACTATGCAGTTACACATGTTGCACTGGCACAGAGATAAGAAGAACTCAGATGGCATGCAGTATGCCGGATGGCAGGAATGAAAAGCAGCCAGTTGGGTTTGGGTCTACTAGTTGAAGCCCCCCTGTTTGCCTGCTAGTTTTCCAATCAGCTGCCAGAACTCAGAGAACGTCAGCTCCCCATCGTTGTTTTCGTCTATGGAGCTCATGAGCTGGTCGATCGTCCCGGGGTCGCTGGCGTTCTGTGGGGGATCACAGATTAGACACAGATCAATGTTGGACCAGTGGGAGGTGCAGCACAGACTGCCTACTTTCTGTCCCATTTATAACCAATTTTTTATGGATGTCATTAATTGTTGGTTTATATTAATGCATTTAAACATGTATTTCCTCTGTGACACAAATAGAGATTGTTAAAAACATGAATGTGGTGCTAAAGTTTGTATTTCTTTTTTTGTGTGCATTTTCCATAATCCACACAGGGTCACATATTCTATTACTGTACTCAAATATATATAAATGCGTAAAACCACCACTAATATGTAGTAACTTACATCATAGTGTCAGTTTTTATTTGCATCAACAAGCTTGCTATTAGATTCAGCACTCCCCAAAATGGGCTAAAAACATCTATGCCCTTTAACAATTTCTCTCTGAAGAAACTTCATTGGTTTGGACTCAGGAACTACCAACTGCTGGACCGCCAGCGCCACTGAGCCCAGAATCCAAAACCAACACATTTAAGCTCCAGAGCTTAGAGCTGTTCAACTTAACACACAGAGTAAATAAAGATTTGTTGTCTAGTAAAACAAATATTTTACTTTTTGGGCGAAATTAAAATGGGATATTTTTCTTATATGGTACTAATATAAGTTAAAAAAGGAATGGTATAAAACAAACAGGGGAACAGCTTCATATCAGATCAACAACTAGATGTTTGGAAATTTGTTCCAACACTAGCTGTTATAACAGAGCAATAATTCCCAGTTTACCAGAATGGGTGCTGAAAGCAGGGAAATGGCAAATGGCAAGTACTTATATAGCACTTTTTCAAGTCAGGAGTCTTGACCAAAGCGCTTCACACTACATTCATGCATTCACGCATTCACTCACATGCTCACACACTGATGATGGCAAAATACATTGTAGCCACAGCTGCCCTGGGGCTCACTGACAGAAGCGGGCCCTCTGACCACCATCAGTGGGCAATGCAGGTGAAGTGTGCTGCCCAAGGACACAAGGACACTGAAAGCCGGAGCTGGCACTCAAAACGTCAACCCTCCAATGGGCTTTATGCACAGCTCCACTACTTCCTGAATTTAAGGTAGCTCCTTTGTTTCCTGTCTTTCATTACTGGACGGACTGATTAATCCAGGTGTGTCTGGCCAGTTACATAGGTCATACACACTTGGATTAATCAGTGCATCCAATCATGAAAGACAGGAAACAAAGGAGCCTCCTGAAGTTCAGGAAGTGGTGGAGTTGTGCATAGAGCCAATTGCAGGGCAAACTGCTGCACCAGACACCACTGTCGCCCTTAAAAATTAGACTCCTGGGATGTTCCCTGGATTTCCTGATAGACTACAGTATTTACTTTGAATCCAGATCAGTGGTAACCACTGTAAATGATCAATTACACCAGAGGCTAGTTGACTGCTTATGGCAGCGGTCACTTTGCTAAGGAACATCTAGATATTACGAGTAATGTAGGCTTATATTCTGACCCGTCTGTGTAATATGGACCCTATGTGGATTAAAGATCCCTAAACCTGTGCAGAATTTCTTTTAAAGGTTTTTAGAATGTGCTCTAAGTTGTTAGTTGCATCTTAAGCCTGACCTGGAGAAAAAAAGCAATTCAAATTTATAAGATCAGTGAACCTCTAACTATAATAATATGTCAGCAGGAGGTGGCCAAACACCTACAACACTTGGAAATCAGTTGAATGTTAGGAATAGGTTCTATATTATAATAAAAAGATTGTAATAACTATGTTTCAGATTTTTTATTGCATTGAAATTACTAACTAAATATGTTGTTAAACACAGACAAATCCCCCAAAAAACCTATAATGAGAAAACCATGCAGGTAAAAGGTTTTTGGTTCAAACTTATATTGGTATCACTGGTTTCAGATTTCCTGATGATTCCCATGATGTAGACATAATGGAAGAACTGCTCAACACCTACATTGACCGTTGTTTTTGAAAAATATAAAAAGCCTTCAACAATTGTCTAATATCAATGAAAACATCAAAAATAAGCTAAGAGAGACAATATCGACAATTAAAGAGACAAACCTTGACAAAGTTGGGAAGTTGGGAGGTCACCAGCTTATGGAACTCATCTTTACTCAGCGTGGTGGAGGATCCTTCATTCCCAGCGTACATCTTGAACTGGCTGACAATGGTGGTGATGGCAGCTTCCATGGTCGCTTTTACTGCAAATAAAATTTAAAAAATCAGTCAAAACTGAGGATGCATACGTATAAAAGCAGATAGAGAACTGCAATCAGCAGCTGAAGTGTTACCTTAATGGGGTTAGACTCAGTGTGTCAAGCTGCAGGAGATCCTTTCCTCTTCATCCCTGCCCATCTCCTCTAAATATACGTGCTTCATCTCCATCACTGGTGCACACATCAGCAGAAAACACCTCCTCATCACTCCCCTCCTGCCCTGCAGGCTGCCCTCATCGCTGTCTGATTTCCATGACATCAAAAACAGAAAAAAAGGAAGAAAAAAAACTGCCACTCTGACCTACTAAAGGTCACAGCTAGTACTGACGACTGGACAAAACACTGCTTGAGTCGCTCTGCAGAGTGAGGGATTCAGAGATAGCATCAGGCGAATCCAATCAACTGACTGAATCATGCATTTCTAAGCAGTAATTAGTTTATACAAAACATGACTCAAATGAAGGTACCAGGGGTTAAAACACACCCTCTGTTGTCTGAATCCCAACTGCAAATACTCAAAGTTCAGCCATGAATCATGCCTTTTTGTGTGTTTTTGCTGCACAGACCCGTTAATCTATATTCAGATTGTTAACATCAGAGACCATCACAGGGGGAGCACAGATCTCTGCTGAAACACCTCTGATCTGGCTGGTTGTAGAATTCAGAGAATGTCAGGCTCCGTCTGCTCTTTCGTAATGACCGACTGGTTCTCGTTCATCAGCATATCAGCTGGGTGATATCAGCAGAAGCCCAGATGCGATACATGCCATTGTTCTAGCAAGCGCTCATTCATAGAACTGAGTCTGAGTGTAAACATTTCAGTCTGGCAACATGGTTGTGATAATAGATGCCATTCATGCCATCAGCTCTTGTTCCCAGCACAGTGACTCAGATGCAGGGTGTCACACAGGCTTGGGTGACTTTCATTCTTTTTAGAGCCAAACCCGTCACACAGAGAAGATCCGGTCTTTTTAACATGGGGAATACCAGACTCCGTTCTGGTCAGTTTATCTATGCTCTTAATGCTTGACGAGGCACAGCTGTAATTTAATTTGGGGGCTTTAATGATGAACACAAAGCACCATCTCCAGCTTGGAATAATTATTCAAAAAACAAGATTTGACTGCAAGAGAGGCAATTCTTTGGGGATTTTATCAAATCCATGCAGGATCTTGCAGGATCAGGGTTCTTAACAGGGCTTTTGATTGGCATGTAGCTTCTGTTTGCTGCTGTATTAGAGGTATGCTTTTCAACGCTAACTGGATTCAATAATACTGGAGAATTCATAGAGAAACAAGGACTCTCTGCAGAGCTGGAAAAGTCTGGAAACTTTTGGAAACAAGAGAAATGTCTCCAGAAAAAAAAAAAAGTTTAATAGATGAAAATAAGATTTTTAACGTCATCACACTTTACAAGCACGGTGGTAGCAGCATGATGCTCATGGAGGAATTCTTACACAAAGTGGAGAAAATAAACTTGAGGACCTTGAGATGAACCAATTTTACCTCAAATTGACTAGATGGAAAATTGTACAGACAGAAACATTTCCCTCAATTATCGCATATTCCAACCTGTTTGTGGATCTGATCTGAGCACTGGCAAGATATATAACTCACCAGTTTTTGTTTAGTTTGATCATGAGAAGAATCAAAACCCACTTCATGATTTTAAAACCTAGGTGGAGTCCAGACTCAAACTTTGGGCTTCGATGGTACGACAATTGGGAACAACCCAAATTTATTAATTAATCCCGGTTCATGGTTTTCTAACCAACCAAATTGTTTTTTCCAATATAGCTCTACAATAACAGCCCCCCCCAAAAAACCTTTAGGCACTTAATCTTTTGAAAAAACCCCAAAGAAAATTCAGACATAATGGTGACAAATGTATTGAAATCAATGTTTATTTCACATAAACAGGACACAACTGATGATGATAGAATTTATAGGTGCCCTGGCGTTATATCCATTCATCTCCAGGTCCTGCCCTATTGTTGCCAAACAGACAGAAATACTCTCAAATATTAACTAAACTCTTACTTTAATTCGTGCTACGAGGATTCCCTCAAACCCTTTAGGTTGGGAGATCTTCAGAAATAAACCAGTACAACGTCTCATCTGTAAAAACTCTGCAACATTCACTTCATGTTCTATCAACAGCAGGACAAATTAAAGTTGCGTAAACTTCTTCTTCTAGTAGAAGGAAAGGAAATCAGAGACCTCTGGTCCATTCTGAGATATTCATTGTGAGAAAGGCACATAAGCAGCAGCTCCTACATCAAGTAAATCAAAGCTGCTTTAACATTCAGCGTGAACAGCCTGGGACCAAGTCTGTTGCTCCTCTGATAAAGAAATAAAAGTGACAGAATAAATAATCAGGTAACACATCAAAGCTTCTTTTAACAATCACAATCTGCCAACTTTTCACTTTGACATCAACATAAAGAGGAACTGGTGAAATCAAAAGGATACCTTATTTTTGGGCTTGATTTTGTGCTGTTTGTTTTTTTTTTTTTTCCTTTTGCCCAAAAATATGAAAAGTCTTTTTTTTATTCTTATTTAAATTCTGGAAACTACATCTAAATCAGCTGCATGCAAGTCAACTCAAACCTATTTCTGAATGAAACGGGGGGTGGAGGGGTGTAGAACGTAATCTGGAGCATTAACAGATGAAGTGAAGGGGCTTCTTCTGGGATTACTAATTTATAATTGTACTTGTGCGCTGGGAAAGAAGAGCCCCTTCACAAGAAACGGTGAGAAGTAATCGCCATGTCTGACGAAAAGTGCTAAAGTGGTCAAGAAGTGTTGAATCTGTGGGATTGCTTTTTCTCTAGGAGCAGAAGTCAAATAAACAGATCTGGGGTAAGTCAGGTTAACAGAAAATGCTTGAGGCTCATAAACAGGTCTCTCTCTTTCTCCGTTTGTTTGCTGAAAAAAAAAAAAAATGCTGACAAAGAAACCAGTCGGACCTGATCTGATAAAAATCGCAGAACACAGCAGGATGCCCTCCTCTGGGACCGGACTATAGGGGACTGATGATTAGGTTGATTATCTGGGTAATACTGATCGAATGCTCCCAGTCTGGTCTGGGTTTAAATTCACATCAATGCTACATGCACCAATTAGAGCAAGAAAGAAAAAAAAAAGAAATAAAATTCACACAGCAGGTTACTCTGAAACAGGAGCCATGACCCGGACAGAGGTAGGTAACAACAACTAAGCCCAAAATGGCAAACACAGTATAGCTTATAATGAGAGACTCTGAGAGACACATTAAGGAGTCTGTTACAAAAGCTACAACAATCACAGCTCAGAGGAGAAGTTAAGGAAATGTCCTACAAAACCATCATCAGCAATGTCCTTCTTGGGTTTTAATGCTTTGAAATCCTTCTTTTAAGCTGTGGCTGCAAACTTCCACAGGGCCTCCCGCTCAAACTCCTCCATCTCCTCCTCCAGGGAGTCATTGTCCTTCTGTCCACCACCCTCCAATACATCCACCATGTCTTCCAGGACATCTGCAACGTCCTCAGCAAAGTCCCCGAAGCGCACCCTGTCATGGATGAAGACGCCGTCCTCGAAGAAGTCAGCGGTCAGCTTGCGGATCTTATCCTTCCCGTCGTTGGAGGAGCCTTCCAGCTTGCTCAGGTAGCCCTCCAGCAGCTCCTCAAACTCGGACAGCTCCACGGGGTAGAGCCCCTCCTTAGTGGCGCAGTCCTCCACGGAGGTGCAGCCCAGCTGCGGACGGACGTTGCGATGGAGCTTGAGCTCCTGGTCTCTCCAGAAGTCGTTGTGGTTGTGCTGCTGAGGCTGCCGGGTCTGCTGATGATGATGGGGAGAGTTTTTACCCGGCCGGCTGTGCCACGGCTTCTCCTTCCTCCTTTCCTCTCGGTCCATCCTGCGCTCGCCCTTCTTCCTCTGCCAGTCGTCCTGGTTCTTCCTCCACGCTTCTTTGTGAGAGTTTTCCTTTTGGGGTTTCCCCTCCTTTTCTTTCTTCTCCTCTTTGCCGTGCTTCCACTCCTTCTTTTGCTCCTTCTTCCAGTGGTCTCGCTCCTGTTTTTTGTCCTTTTTTCCTTTCCATTTTGGCCCCTGTGGCTTCGTCTTCTCCCACCTCTCAACTTGTTCTGAGAGTTTCTTCTGGATTCCTTCTAAGTTCTCCCAAACTTGTTTTCCATCACCTCCATCCTTTCTCATCCCTTCCAGTCTTTTCTTGCTTTCTTCTAACAGGACTTTCTGACGGTGAAGCTCTTCCTTCAGCTTTCCATCCTTTCTCCACTCTGGTCCAGCTGCTTTATGGGAACTCTGAGCATCTTCAGCATTTGGCTGAGAAGCGGGGCTGGAAGCAGGCGACACCGTTCCTGAATCAAATTAAGAAAAACAAAAAGCGTTTAGGTTTCAGAGGTGGTCCCAGTACCCCAAAAAAATAAATGCAAGATGAAATATTTACGGTTGAACCTAAGAAGGAATAAATGCTTTGGCAGAAAAAAGACAACCCTATGACATAAAAATAAAAAATAAAAATAGAGTTTCATTTAAATTTCTATTTTTATTCTTCCTAAGATCATAGAACGTTCTTTTAACCCACTAAACAGTCATAAACATCCTTGAGCTAAAGCAACAGTTTGCAGAAAGGACCAAAATGGTCTTATTGTGAAAATTGAGCAATCAGGATAAGGCTAAGAAGCATTACATAATAATTGGTTTTAATGTGAAAATATATGCTGCAAAGGTCAGGAAGTCTGCTAAGAATCTATTGTTTCTACAATCGCATTCAATGAATTGGAATATAAATAAAACATACATTTATTTTAGTAACTAAATTCACCACAATTTGTAGATTTTAAATGAGGATTTTTGGGACAGCTGGTTAATTGAGGCCATTTTTCTTCCAGCCCATCCATCAATTCATTGCTTTAAAGGTATAGTGGAGGATGTTCTGTTTCCGGGCGGATCATCAAAATAAGTGGCCCTAATTGTCAATCATAAAGGTGGTATGTTTACGCAAGGCCGTCCTACGTGCTCGTCCCCAGTTATATGTGTGGTTTCTCACCGCGGTTCTTTGAAAATGGCCAGGGATCATAAGAGAAAAAGTGTCTACGAAGTGCATGAGAAGAAAAGAAAGGCCTCAGAAGAAGCAGATATATCCCCTAATGCTTTGCGTTAAGAGATCTCCTCGCAAAGCATTATGGGAATTGCTGTCACAGCGGCCCGCTGCCTCCATAGGCTGTCGCTACCCGA